TCTTTAAAAAAAATGACAAAGGAAAAGAATTGGGAGGGGAGAAAAAAGAAGGGGACAACATGCAGTCGAAGTTTTAAACTGATGAGTCAGAGAGAGACCAGTGGTTTCTATCCCAGCTCTGACACCAGGGCTCTACACATAATCACCAGAGAAAACCTCAAGATCAGCAGAATTATAAGAACAACAGACCCATCCAACTGAAGGTTAGCATTTTGGGGGAACTTTCAGATTGGCAGGTCTCTTTAGATGAACTATCATCACAGATTTCGTTTATATGTATTTATCCCACAAGCATCAACATCATCATAAGCATCATTTTCTCAAGGTGAACTTTACTTTTTAGTATGAATTACTTTAAAATAAGTTTATATAAGAACTCTTAAATATCAAACACTTAATGAAAATGTTCTCCATCCTCACTGCCTCGTAGTAGACTCCTGGATTGAGTCTCACAACCTCCACTTCTTGTTTCTACATTTTGAAGAGATTAGAAAGCTAAAAGACTCCCTTGCCGGCCAAGTGTGGGACATAGGTCTGCCAGTTGTTTGCACGTGGAAGGCACAAGTTCAACAAAGGCCATCTTCCTATAGTAAGGGCAACTGACAAAAATGTCTAGTAGACACTGAATGGCGGCAGTAACCATAGTCCCGATTCCCCCATCAGTTCACTGGTTTCATGGGTGAGAAGCAGCTGCGGCAGCGGTGGTGGGAGCGGTAGCAATGGTATTAGTATATGGCCTTGAAACCGTTAGTCCAGTAGTGGCTCCCTGATTTTTGCTCTCCCAGCCCTTCCAATGTAAGCACCTGTTCCTTAAAATAGCTACAGTCGTTCTGCTTCCTGCCCTATACCCCTATTTACAACACACTGACAGTAGGTGAGGTCAAATCCTTACACTCTTTCTCACACTGCTGTTATAATTAGGTGACATGCCTGGAATCTCTCACCATTTTAGTTCTTCCTGACCTGCTACCATCAAATCTGGTCATGCTTAGAGAAAGCTTACCCTAAAAAGGCCACATGGAAACCTCTTATGTTCTCTTATATACCTGTACCTTGTATGTGCAGCTAACTGTGCCCTTCAATTCCTTCTCCATCTGCTGAAATCCCACTCCACTTTCGGAACCTAACTCAAACAAGACTCCCGTGAATATTTCTCAGCAGGTCACTCCACATGCCCAAATGTGAACCCATTTCCACATATCCTGCTGCCTCCCTTCAGCTCTGTACTCATTCACATTCATTCATTCAAAAGAGTTACATTAACCTATCACATTGTGTAGAGGGCTGGGGATACAAGCCTAAACAAGACAAACAAGATCTCTTCTCTTATAGCTATAATTCAACAGGGAAATAGATTACCCAATAAATACCCAAATAATGTTTAATTACAACTGTAGTAAGAGTAATAAAATATTCAGGATGTGTCTTATACGTATAAAGAGAAGCCTAACCTAAGAGGGGAGAATCATTTCCCTTCAAGAGACATTTAAGCAGAAACTGGATGATACATAAAACTGATCAGGCAAAAAACTGTTAGAGAGCTTCCTGGGCAGAAAGAACAGCATGTGCAAAGGCCTTGAGGCAGCATTCTAGGAACTGTGAAGACAACCAATAGACAAAAGTCAGATGCAATAGGGAGAGCAGCCCAAAATAAGTAGAGAGGGGGGTACTTCTTACAACCACTATTATAACACTTAGTACATTGTTTTGGAATTATTCATTTGCAAAAGTGCAGTCCTCTCTAAACAAACTCCTTTAGGTCTTACTAATTTTTTTAGCCCCATAATCCAGTAGTGCTTAGTGGTGTCCCCTACAGTCAAGATCTGTGGAATGAAGAAATAAGTGCTTGATCTGGGCCTGATCTGGGCAAGGAGCTTACCCTCTTAATACCAGACAGGTGGAACAAAACAATCCCTTAAGGGTTCAAAAACCTTATGTTTCTGATTACCCCAAAACTTACTGGGCAAGAGACACATTTTCATTCCAACACATGTTCGGAATCAAAGCTAGTATTAACTGTGAATGAAACTTTAAATACTAAAAACTATAGTTCTCCATAAACTGCCACCAACTAATAACCAATAGAACTGCATTAAAACTCCCACAGAGTCACAAATGAGGCCAGGGAGAGGAAGCTCAGATCCATCTGCCTGTTCTCATTCTCCAGTTGTTCAACAGATCTGGTAAGTGTCGGATCATGAGCAGGAAACTGGCACCTATGCCATCCTTTTCTCCTTCCTTACTTCCTAAATAATGTCAATTCAGGAAACACACACACTGATGACTCAGTAAGAAAATGTCAAAATCCAATTGATATAACTTTGCCAACTATTATTAAAGTCAAGAGAATAGGGTAATCTTTAGCCCTAGACTTTAGTCTTTCGTACATGTTCTCAAAGAGCAGTGGGGAAGTATTTTGTGAAAGAAAAGAAAATTGAGTTAACTAAGAAATAGCTTCAAAAATACATGAAAGGCTTGATGTAGTTTATTAGACAGTGAAGAAAACATTAATACACATATACAGTATGGAACCTCTTTTAATAGCTGAGCTGCAGAATAAGAACCATAGCATGTCTTTTAAAAATACATTGAATCAGAATTTCACTACCTACATTTACTATGTCATCTGGCATATATAACAATAAATCCAAAATCATTTAACAAGCCAAGAACTCTACTAAGAGAGCTCTATAATGGGCTTCAACCATATCGAAGACTCAAAAATTTTACAAAATATATTTAATTGTATCAATAGCCCAATCATGTCAAATTTTTCAACTACTACAACTATGAAATCAAGTCTAATTAAACTTAACTGTGATATTTTTTCCTGGACGAGAGGATAAAACAGTGAAATAATTTAGAAGCTCATTTTAATATTATTCAATACTTAGTAGCATCAAGGAAAAACTAAGGATCTTTCCAAATCATGACTGGAGTTCATGCCCTTCACCCTCAAACTCTAGATGCTACTCTCTTCTCTCCCTCTTCCTACATTTCTCAAAAACAAACCCACAAACAAAAGACCAAACAAAACCAAAATAAAAACATTCATTCAATATATATCCATGGACCTCAGTGGCAATACAAACAGCAAACAAAACTAATGCTCCCTTTTCCTTCTGTTAGAATAAAATTTTTGTTCTAATTTAAAAAGTACATGATTCTCCTCTCCTCACTTCAAAAAATGAGAATGAAAATGTTATCATGTGGCACATAATGGATTTATCAAAACCTATACATTATTTTAGGAAGCATCAGTGAAAATCTGATTTTATAAAGTACTTTTTCGGGGACAGAAATTTAAACAAAAATTATTTTTCACTTATTTCTACACCTAATGAAAGTACTTACTGAAACTGTTACTATTCAATTTTTAATAGATTTAATATATACTAACATCTCTCTTTTTTTTTTTTTTTTTTTTACTAACATCTCTTTTTAACCATGTTACTTCTCACTCAAAATGCAGCTCATTTCTTTTTCTGGCCTTTTAAAGGCCCCATTTTTCGGTGTTTTACTAGTGCAGTGATGAGTAATTGAGCCTCAATACAGTATTCCCCCTCCAAAAAACACACACACACACATAATCAGTATCAAGTAAACAAATACTGCCATAATAATCAGGCATTTTTAACCCATCACCTGAAAGGTTACCCAGAATAAAAGTAAGGTTGGGTCAGTCAAGTTACTGTGATATTGAAAAGTGCTCCTTAAAATGGTCTGGTTACAGTATTCCCACATGATCTTCCAGTAATCAGGTACCTGTTATGGTAGTGGGGTAGTGAAGTGACCTGCCGATGCTGTGTGGCTTAGTCTAATCAAACATTATCAGCCTACTGAAACGTGACTCATTTATATAGTATTGAGGAACAACAGTAAAGCTTCAAGAAAAGTCTAAGTCAGTAACAGAAACCTGAAATGACATTCTCAAAGACAGACTCTTGCTTTGGAGAACTACCTATTCTTCACCGAATAAACAAACCAATTTAGAAATAAGCAAGATCTTTTCCTAAACACATGATAGGTTTGTTTTTAAAATCTGAAACATTTTTCTCAGGAGATTACTTATAAGACATTAAATATAAATCAGATCTCCAAACCCAAACATATAGGCTAAAAATAGTGTATCTATTTTAAAGGCTGAGGCAGAAGCCCTCCAACGGAACAAACTAAAATTAGGTTTTTGTCAATCTCTGGATCTTTAAAAAATGCACCTTCAACGTTCTGGGCCACACAAACCAGTGTCCACATGTTCTCCCAAACCAACTGGTCAGAGATAATCTAATTATTAAAAGCTTCAGGAACATAAGCCCACTGTCCAAGAGACTCATATAATGAAATTCCTCCTCATTCGGGTTAATATCCAGACTTAAAAAACAATTCTACTACTACTACTACCAAAGACCCCTCCCCAATGGTCTCACTCAGTAAAACTCCAACCCACCAAAAAGGACCACCATACCCTTTGTCAGGAAGAAGCAAAAGCCCTGTACAAAGCTGTAAGGTGGGCGGGCAGGTAGGGCTCCACCTGGGATACGGAGCATCGGAGCCCCAGGTGGGACGCCGTGGTCACTGGGGGAGGGTCAAGGCGGAGACCGAGACTAAGGGTGGCCCCACCCACGGATGTACCTGCGAGCTGAGGCGGGAGGAGAGCAACCCTTCAACCCTACGCACTAGCCAGGCAGTCGCCCCGTTCCGAGATCCCAGCCCGGCTCTGGCCCCGGCCCTGTAGAGGGTCCGAGCATCGCGACGCTGGAACCGGCTCTGCCCCGGGGCCGGGAAAGAGGAGGCTGAGGCCAGTGCCGGCGCCCACTGGCCTGACCTCGCCGCCGCCTCTGGTGGAGGTGAGGGGCTACTCGAGCCTGAGCCCGCCCTCCCCTCAGGGCCGGGGCCAGCTGGGCGCAGCCGCGGCGTCCGCTCGGGCCCCGGGCGCCGCGGCGACGGGAAGGTCACCGGCCGCAGGAGGCCCCGACCAGGGGCGGCGACGTCCGCGCTACCTTTGGCCTCGCAGTCGGCGCAGTACTTGTTGTCCTCCTCCCTCAGCAGCTTGGACAGGATGAGCTGGTGCTGCTCGTTCAGCTTCTGAGCCTTCTCCCGGCAGGAGCGCGTCGCCATCTCGGCAGCGGGGCGGGGAGCCCGGGGCAGCTACGGCGGCGGCGGACTCGGGCAGGAGCTGGACAGCGAGAACACACCTGGAGCCGCCGGGACCGCGGGCGGACTCAACCCAGGAAGCGGCGGCGGCGGCGGCCGCTGGAACTGGAGGAGGAGCGGCGGCGGCGGTGGCAGCGCCGACGTGTCCCGCCTCCTCGCCGGGCCGGCCCCGCACGCACCGCCGGAGCCGGCGAGGGAGGGGGAGGGGGAAGGAGGGAGACGGGGCCGAGGCTTCCGGGTGGCGCGCAGGAAGGAACCCAGACGCTGGGCGCGGTGCGCATGCGCCGAGCTTCCCGGGAAGCCGGCCAGCCGGGACTTTATGTGCTAGGCCGTTCGCCCAAGGTGATCCCCAGAAGGTACTTCGCACTGCCCGCTGTGGGCTTCCCCACTGTGGGGATGAGATCGTCCCAGAGGGCCTCGGGTAAAACCCGGTAAAGGAAGAACCTTTGCAAAGAGGTGACTTACACTTGCTCCTTTGCCTTTGCTCTTGACGGCGCACCATTGGAAATGCAGATATAAAGTGCGTGCATTCGTGTATTCATTCCATGTTTATTCACGTGCAGTTTTGAAACAGGAACTCCTAGAAGTTGGAGGATACGGGTGCAATAAAATAGTCAAAACAGTCCCTTACATTTTATGGGAGAGAAATAGCCTGGTAGTGACAATTACTAAGAACTAACATTTATTGAGTGGTTACTCTGTACCAAGAACTATCAACCTGTTTAACCCTTACCACAACCCTACGATACAATACTCTCATTATACAGATGTGTAAAATGAGGCATGGAGGAGTTAAGCCTCTGCCCAGGCTGCAGAGCTACTCAGTGGAGGAGTTGAGATTCGAGTCTGCAGCAGTCTGGCTCCAGAGTCTAAAACACCTAGCAATAAGCCTTTCATAAGGAGGGGAGAGTGTGGCCAAGGAGGCAAATCCTGGGTGTTTTCACTTTAACAGAAAGCTGTATGAGCAGTGATCTTTAATGCGTGAAAAAGAAAACTAGGGAAAGAAGACACTTAATTAGAACCCGGAGCTCCCCAACCAGGCCTCATGGGATTTGAACCCTGAGTGAGGCTGTTTGACTGTTTGGGCATATAATGGCTTATTAGCAATTTCTCATATGAGGCTTAAGAAATCAGAATAAACATGCCTGTGGTGGAGCAGTTGCTAGGAAAGGCAATGAGCCGGGGCCTGTGTCTTATACTTTTCTACAGGGCCAATTCCTAGCCTAGGTCCTGCATTAAGGTGACCCTCATGCTCACCTGTCCCTGCTCTTGGCACAGGATCTCAAAAATGCTTGTGGAATTCATCCGGCTCCTGGGTGGCTAAGTCAACTAAGCTCTGACTCTTGATTTCAGCTCAGGTCATGATCTCAGGATGGTGAGATTGAACCCCACCTCGGGCTCCGTGCTGGCCATGGAGCCTGATTAAGATTCTCCCCCTCTCTCTCTCTCTTAAAAAAAAAAAGATTCTCTCCCTCACCTCCCTCTCTTAAAAAAAAAAAAAAATGCTTGTGGAATTCAATTGAATGCTGAATAATTGAACAAATTAGAGCTTAAACTGTGTGGGTCTGACAAATAACTAGTAGGATATCAGAGTGAGTTCCAAAAAACGGAAAAAAAATCATGTGGGAGGCAGAACTTTTAGGTCACATCTTAAAGACTGGCTTGATTTAGATGGGGGCCAAGGAAGGAGATACTGAGCAAGAGCAGTATGCACAAAAGCACAAAGACTTCAAGGAGCTCAGAAAACAGACTAACGGACAGGGGTTCTACTTAAGATGAGAGAGAGATAAGGCTGGATAAGTGAAGTGCGACAGAATTAAAGAAGGTTTGGGGAACCAGCCAAAACAATGTGGCCTTGATGCAGCTGACAACAGAAAACCTGCAGATTCTTTAAGTAGGATAGTAGCATGGAAAAAAAAAGTCATGTTAGGGGAAAGTTAGTCCAACAATACCAGTTAACAAACACGACTTTTGAGTGTTTCCTCCGCTCCCAGGAAATTCTGCTTACTGCTACAAGGATTAAGAAAAAAACAGAAGCGGGCACGGGGTGGCTCAGTCACTTAAGTGTCTGCCTTCGGCTCAGGTTATGATCCCTGGGTCCTGGGATCGAGTCCCGAGAAGGCTGCTTCTCCCTCTTCCTACTGCTCTCTCTCTCTCTCTGACAAATAAATAAATAAAATCTTAAAAAAGAGAGAGAGAGAAAAGAAAAAAACAGAAGACAGGCTTACCACCAAGAAATTGAAGGGGCACAGCACTGTCTAATAGAAATATAATGCATACCACATATACTTTTAAATTTTCTAGTAGCCACATTTAAAAATAGAAAAAAGAAAAAGAAACCGGCAAATCAATTTTAATAGTATATTTTATTTAATCAAATATATCTAAAATATTATCATTTCAACGTATGAGTAATTGTTAAATTAAAATTAAAAATTACTGAGATATTTTACATTCTTGTTTTCCTACTGTTTTCAAAATCCAATGTGTAGGGGCGGCTCGGTGGCTCAGTCGTTAAGCGTCTGCCTTCGGCTCAGGTCATGGTCCCAGGGTCCTGGGATCGAGCCCCACATCGGGCTCCCTGCTCGGCGGGAAGCCTGCTTCTCCCTCTCCCGCTCCCCCTGATTGTGTTCCCTCTCTAGCTGTCTCTCTCTCTGTCAAATAAATAAATAAAATCTTAAAAAAAAAAAAAATCCGGGCGCTTGGGTGGCTCAGATGGTTAAGCGTCTGCCTTCGGCTCAGGTCATGATCCCAGCATCCTGGGATCGAGTCCTGCATTGGGCTCCCTGCTCCTTGGGAGCCTGCTTCTCCCTCTGCCTCTCTCTCTCTCTCTGTCTCTCATGAATAAATAAATAAAATCTTAAAAAAAAAAAATCCAATGTGTATTCTGCACTTACAGCTTGCTTCAACTTGGACTAACTACACCTCAAGTGCTCAATTGCCACATGTGACTAGTGGCTACATCACTGAACAGTGCTTATCTAGATGGTCATCTAGAGGCTATTAAAAATCTAAGTTTGAGTTGACTGCTTATTAGGGATGTGACAGAAAGAACGAAAAAGGGACGCCTGGGTGGCTCAGTGGATTAATCGTCTGACTCTTGATTTCCACTCAGGTCATGGTCTCAGGGTCTTGAGATGGAGCCCCACGTCATCAGGCTCCATGCTCAGCACAGGGTTTGCTTGAGATTCTCTCCCTCCCTCCCCATTTGCCCCTCCCCCATCTCTCACTAAATAAATAAATAAAATCTTTTCAAAAAAATAAAAGAAAGAAACAACAAAAAAAGAAGAGACTGATACCAAAAACATCTGGGGAGGAAAACAATATTGCATTAAATCATCAATATTCATTAAACAACTTCTGTTCAGTTCTCTGACAATCAGAAGCTTACAGTCTAATGTGAGATAAAAACATGTAACTAGAAAAGTTAAAAGCCACACTGTAAAGTCTGCAGCAAATATAAAGTGTTCTGGGAACAAAAGGAACAGAACAATAGCCTGGAAGAATTGGGGAAGGCTTCACAGAGTACATGATGCTTTTTTTTTTTTTTTAATAATTTATTTATTTATTTTTAAAGATTTTATTTATTTATTCATGAGAGACAGAGAGAGAGAGGCAGAGGGAGAAGCAGGCTCCCAAGGAGCAGGAAGCCCGATGCGGGACTCGATCCCAGGACCCTGAGATCATGACCTGAGCCGAAGGCAGACGCTTAACCATCTGAGCCACCCAGGCACCCAGTACATGATGCTTAAACTTGATTTTAACACAGGTAGGAATTTTTCAAGGGTATACGGATGTAGATGAGGAAAAGAATATCTTGAAAAATATATATACATATATACATTGACTTCTGACTTCTGAAAGCATGGTTCTGTGCTGGAAGTAGTGAGAATATGAGGCAATAGGGACATAGGATGTGCATAGAGAACAGAAAGGCAGGAAAGGAAGCAAGGTGGAGAAGTAGAACAGAGACAAGAGGTTAAGAATTTTGCAGCCAAAATACGTAGTTTGAATTTTACCTCATGGGCATATTGAGCCAGCAGAAGTTTTTACACAGAAAAAGAGATTTGGTTAGCTTTGTTTTCTATAACTATAATGGCAGGCTAGAGAATATGGGACGGTGGGAAATACTATTCCCGGGATCAGGGAAACAAATTACGGACAGCGCTGTTGCAATAAGTCCAAAGAAGATGTGCTGAAGGCTTATTTTAAGCCAGTAGCATAGAGTTTGGAAGAGACAAAGTCAAATGATGTTTTAAAATTAGAAGCAGCAAGATTTGGCAGCTGACTATATGTGGGGGTTGAGAAAAAGGAGGTGAGAATAACACCAAGGTTTCTAAGTTGGGAGACAGGTAAATGGTTATGCCACTAACGCAAGAGAAAAGGGATAGTTCAGTTTTGGGGTCAGAGGAGAAAAGGTGTTCACTTGAGGCCATGTTAAGTTTAAGGTGTCCATAGGACATCCACCTCCATATGTTTAATAGGACACTGCATTTCTACTTCTAAAGCTCTAGAGAGAAGTTAATGCTGGTGAAAGTCATTTGGGAGTCATCTACATTTAAATAGTCATACGAGACATAAGAGTAAATGAAATTCCCCTAGAGAAAGCATGTAGACAAAAAAGAAAAGAGTCAAAGGGACAAAACTCTGGAGATTGCCTGCTAAATGATGAGTGAACAGAGAAAGGTATACCGTTGAAAAGAGAGGTGAAGTATGGCCAGGAAGAGAACCAGAGACTATGGTAGGAGAGGTTTCTGAGAAGTCAGGGTGAGCACTAATGCCAAATGTCCAGAAAAGTCCATTATTTCAGTTTTAGATAACACATATAACATGTGGTCATGGGTCTGTACAGTTCATTATTTTCCTTTAGCCCAGGAACAAGAGAAGAGAAATCATCTGGTGAGACTTCCCAGGCACTGCAACGATCTGGCATTTCAGCAAAATGTCGAGGGAGTGATGAGGATGGTTAGAAGGGGGGAAAAAAGAAAATGTACGTACAGGGATAGAAAGCACAGCTAGCGTTAACTGTAGAGTGTAAGGTAAGTATCCAAAATATGTCTGGGAGAGGTGAGGTCAGACCAGCTAAATGACTACAGGTTCCTTTGAGGCCAAAGGTGATTTGGTGTCCTTAGGAAATGAATGCTAATAGCTGAAAGAAAAAAAAGGGGGGGGGGGAGTACCTAGGGACCTAGAGTACCTAGCTCTCA